TTCTAGGCCCTGAGAGGAGGACAAAAGCACAGTGGAAATAAAAGAGTTTCCTTTTCAAAAGACCAACTTTAAGTTACATATGTCACTTCTGATCATATTCCAATGGCAGGAATAGAATGGAGTAGAAATAGACCCACCTAAATCATGTGCACTGGGTCTCTTACTGAAAGGAAAAGGGTAAGTAGATAACACTGAGAGGTGTACCACAATTATCTATTGCAAAAATTAAATAAACAAAATGTGGCATTGTGGAAATGAGGCTAAAAATGATAAGCCCCTTGAAGTAACTACCTACTTAAATGAATGAACCAGTTTTGGCAGAGTGATTGTTGTTGGTTGCTGTCCAGTCAATTCTAACTCATGGTGACCCCAAGTGTGCAGAGTAGAACAGCTTCATAGGGATTTCAAGATTGTGACATTTCAGAAGCAAAACATCTAGGCTGTCTTCTGAGATGTCTCTGGGTGGATTCAAACTGCCAATCTTTTTCTAATGTTTGCTTCAATAAAGAACTCCTTGACAAGGAAAACCACTTCACAAAGTAAAGATCTATTCTATCCAGGAATGTTGCCTCTTCTTTACTTATACCTAGTTTAATGTAATTCACCTAGAGCCTAATAATGTTAATAGTATCAAGAACAGATCATCAGATTTACTATCCGGTTGTCAGTGACTAGATAAGTCTTTTACCTCTGCAGTGGCAACTTTAACCTGGTCTGCATGCTTCACATTCACCATCCACCCTAGAGTCCTTATAACTCACTATAACACCTCAGTGTAATTTCAAAGTCAGAAGCTACAGGTTCAACTGTTCAAGAAGAATTTTTACATATCCTCTCCAAACACCACTACATTCACCTCTCCATCCACACATATGAAGGAGGTATGCACTAAAAATTTCATATTTATTTATATTTTTGAATGCCTATCTTAGCAAGTCTCCATTTTAAGTATTGCAATAATACGGAAATACACTTATTAATTACAGAGGGGTTGGCAAACTATGGCCCAAGTACCATATCCAGGCCATTGTCTATTTTAGTAAATAAAGTTTTATTGGAACACAGACATGCTAATTCATTTGCATATTACCAATGGCTGTTTTTGTACTACAAAGGCAAAGTTAAGTAGCTGCAACAGATACTATATGGCTTACAAAGACTAAATTATTCACTGTCTGATTCAATGCAAAAAAAGTTTCCCAAGCCCTGAAGTGCAATCTGATGAGGTCTTGTTTCCATTTGCACTTCAGATTTTAATTAGTAAGAAACTAATTTTCCATCTAAAATTAATATCAAGAATTTCCTAATGTAAATATAAACATACCCTAAAAGTGATTTCCTCTTGTACTTCCTGAATTCCCTTCCTGGTACTCAATTAATTTGGAAATATTGTAATGAGGGAAGGATATCGATCAATACGGAAACCAAACAAATCCTGACAACTATCCTTACTCATATCACCAAAAAAAAATAATAATAATTAGATTGGTTAAAGTTCTAAATGTGAGAGAAAAGGAATAGGTTAAGATTTAATAAACTATATCTAAAGAGCAATAACAAAGGGGGAAATAAAATAATAAGTTTCACTACATTAAAAATAAGAACTCCTTTTCATTGAAAGACACCATTAAAGGAATGCTTGGGGGGGGGGAGAGTAAAAAAAAAAGCCACAAATTAGAAGCAGGTAATTACAATACATATATCTGATATAAAACTAATATCCAAAATTTTGCCCAAATCAACTTGAAAAAATAGGAAAATTAGCCAAACATTTGAGCAGACACTTCACCAAAGGGCAAACCTACTTAGCCAATATAAATAGGTTTCAATTTACTTGTCATCAGAGAAATACTGAGTTCATATCCATACACATCTTCAAAATGGCTAAAATAAATAAGATACAAAATACCAGGAGTTTACAAGTATGTTAAATTGGAATTCTAAAACCTTGCTAATGGTAATGTACATTATTACAATCATTTTGGAATATAATTTTGTAGTAACTACTAAAACTGAACATATACAAAACCTGTTTCACTTCCTAACATATATTTAAAAAAAAAAAAAAAAAACTTCACTGTCAATGAGTTGATTCTGACTCATAGCAACGCCCATTGGGTTTCCCAGGTGGTAAATCTTTATGGAAGTAGATTGTCCCATCTTCCTTCCCAGAGTGGCTGGTGGGTTTCAACCACCAACCTTCTGGTTAGCAGTCAGGTGCCTTAGGCACTGCACCACAAGAACTTCTTATATATACTGAACAGAAATGCATAGATATGCTCAGCAAAAGATATGTACAATAACATTCATAGCACTGTTATTTGTATTGGCTAAAAATTGAAAACTACCCAAATGATCATCAACTGTAGAAGGAATAAATTAATAGTGGTATATTCACACACTAGAATACTATTCTCAATGAGAATGATATGCATGATTCTTGCAAACAAAACACCTACTTAGCAAATATCAAATAGGTTTCAAGTGAAAGACACAAACAAGTGTTAACAGTATAATTTATCTTATTTAACACAGACAAATATGTTAGACTAATCTCAGAAACCAAGATATAGTTGTACCTTACTTGGCTTGTAGTTAGTGACTGCAAAGAAGCACAAAGGTGGGCTGAGGTCTTCTGGAGTACCTGTAGCTTTCTGTTTCTTTATGTGCTGGTTCCATTAATTTTGCTACAATGTCTTTTGTGGTTTGTTAAAATATGCATTCCCTTGACCGAAATAATAAAATATTTTAATTCAAGAAAATTATCTTTTTAGAGTCTTCTGACCCATACTTTATTAACTTTAAAGTTTAAATTTCTACCATTGTTGTCTTCAATAAATGCCCTAATGTATTTTTTAAAAAAACTAGATTCTTATTTGAATGAGGTATTTAATCCATTTATATATGTACTTAAAAACATGAGTTACTGAGAAAACCTTAACATCATTAAAAATCAACTATAAAATTTTCCCAACATTTAACAACAGAATAAGTTAAACAAGAGTTAGAAAGCATATTATTCCTGTTCAGAGCAAAGCATATTTCTTCCATTTACTGGTTTATTAGCCTCTGTTGAAATACTAATTAGTCTTTATTTTGCAGTCTTACGTTTGCAAGAAGTTTAGTAAAAACTAGATCGTCAATCATAACCAAGGAACTCATTCTCAATAACATCTTTCAGGAACAGAAATTCCAACTCTTCTTTGCCTGTGTTATGAAACATAAATTGGAGAGTGAAAAGTAAACACAACCAAGACAAAGGAAAATAAATTAAAGTGCAAAAAAGAATGCGAGAGACCAGACACAAATGAGTTTTAAAAATATACTGGTAATCATACTTTGCTTACACACTGGGAGACTAGAAAGAAGGAAAGAAATTGAGTTTACCTGTTAGAAAAAGGCTGTTTCTGGGAGCTGTCCAATGTACTAACTGAATTGTCATGGTCACAACTTACCTCCTTAAGAAAAATGTTCTTAGTGGTTCTTTCTTGAATCAAGGAATGTCTGTATTAATCTTCTTTAAACTGTTTCTTCTAATCCACTTTTTAAATCGTTTTCAAGCATGTTGATCTGCCCCTCGGTGTCTTCTTAAAAAGCTCTGTACAGGATACTTAAATAAATACAGCTACTGGCAAAAATGAAAGGGGAAAACAATGTTCTTATTTAAAATATTAAGGATAGTTTGAAATCAGTAAAATTTCATTGTCATTATACCTAATTTAAAATCTCTTTTTATCTCAAATATAAATTTAGATAACTTGAAATTTAAGATATAACTAAATATAACTAAAAATATATTAGAGCTCGGTAAAGTGTCATTCCTGCTTTTAAATCCCACGCTGTAACGATACAAATCAATGGAGAAGATAAGCCAGATGCGAAGTGTTGGGTTTTTTTTGTTGTTGTTGTTCTCGAACAACTACCTAGTCAGCAATTTAAAAATCGAAATACTCCTCCGCAAAGGATCATTCCGTTTGTTTATCAAAGGGTCCTTCGCATTTTACAAAGAATACAGTGGTTTTGTTTGAGTGGAGGATTTGCTTCCCTCTCCCCCGCCCGCGCGCACCACCCTGGTGTTACACAGTGAAGCAGGCTCAGAGAAAATCCTCTATCATTTTATGACCATCATGACTTTGCGGAGTAAACGCCTCTACATTACATGATAGGAGGTAAGGGTTGGGACAGGAAAGTCAAGTATCTCAATTGTTAGACTGATTGCAACAAAACACACTTCAGAAGTCAGGGTTTGTAGCCCTGCAGAAGAGCTGCTGGCCGGCCGGTACCATGGAAGGAGGAAGCAGGTTCCAACAGAGACTCTGGGGAATGCGCTTCCAGCCCCCCTGCCATGCTTGCTTAAGCTAATGGAAGGTCTTGCCTTTCACCAGCCGCTGCACTGGGATACCGGGCAAACAGCTTCCGAGGACTCCTGGCAGGCAGGGCCCCTCTTCAGGACATCATTAAAAGCACATACACTTGTTTCACATCCATTGGCAGCTTCGAGAGGCAAGATTCAGACTCTAATCCCGAAGCCCAGGAGAAGCCAGTCCTGTGGAAAACATCTTCACTTTGAAAACCCAAGCCCAAATGAAAGAACTACATGAGATAAGGAGCCTGAAGAACATTAGTTGGCTGCGGGTGTAAGAAAAATACAAAAACACAGCAGGTAAGAGCAGGGGGTTGTTGCCAAGAAGGAACTGTCCCGGGTAGTGCAGCGACAAGGATCGCAAACCTGGAGGCCTGTCCCTTTGAGCCTTCCACGCGTGCTGCCCTTACCCCGATCCGGGCTCAAGATTGTCTGTTTCCATCAGCTTCGAGAGGAGGGACGTTGTCAGAGCCTTCCCAAGCAGTGCGACTAATCCTGTTACCGACTCGGTTATAAATATTAATGTCCTTGGCCCTTGGTGATGGTGCTGCATCAGTTACAAGGTCGATAAGAAGCTCATCACCAGCCTCGCCCCTTCCTGCGACAAATCGATGAGCCACAAGGCCAGGACGACGCGATGGCTGCCTATCCCGACAGCTGCGTGGACACCACCGTGCTGGACTTCGTCGCAGACCTGTCCCTGGCCTCCTCTGGAGTTCCCCTGCTCTGTGACTTTGCGCCTGGGGTCCCCTTTGGGGACGGAGCCCTTGCGCTCAGAGAAGGAAGGCCTAGGACGTTGGCAAACTTCGAGGAGGGGGACCCAGAGGATGAGGAGGGCGAAGTAGATGAAGGGGACGACGAAGAAGAAGAGGAGCGCGAGAGAGGCGCCTCTCTGCTGGGCCGTCCCAAGAGGAAAAGGGTGATCACCTACGCCCAGCGCCAGGCAGCCAATATCCGCGAGAGGAAGCGGATGTTCAACCTCAACGAGGCCTTTGACCAGCTGAGAAGAAAGGTGCCCACTTTTGCTTACGAGAAGAGGCTGTCCCGGATCGAGACCCTGCGCCTAGCCATTGTCTACATCTCCTTCATGACTGAGCTCTTGGAGAGCTGCGAGAAGAAAGAAACCCTTTGAGGCTAGAGGTCGCGATGGGAGCGGCGGGCTTCTGCTCCTTCTTCGTGTGGGCGCTGGCTGGGGTGTTGCAGGACCTGGCAGTGGGTGTGGCTGAAAGGCAAGGAGGGGCGCTCGGAGACAGAACGTCTGGCCTTCTGGAGTTTGGGTTCGGGATTGTAAAATGCCCCACAGCCCTGGTGAGCAGTGGCAGCTCTAGGGTTAATATATATCCCCGATCGCCCTAGACGGAATCCGCGCCAGAGGCGGGCCTGGCACCTTAGAATTTGTTAAAACCAGTCGGACCTTCCAAGACAGCGCCCGTGAGCAGCTTCCTCGGGCGGTGTGGGTGGAAAGCTAAACTCCGCAAACAGCATCTTTTCAGGTTTCTATAGTGTCTCCTTGCTTTTTATTTTTTGGAAAAAAATATATAGAAATAATAAAGTAAAAAATATTGCTTTTGTTTAAGCTTCATGAGTTGGTGCTGCCCTATCCCCTCCAGGCGGGGAGTGGAGGGCTTCGAGTCGGCGGTAGGCAAGCCCCTGGACCGGTGCCCCTGGGGAGATCCCTCAACAGAAACAGGCGAAAGGTGTTGGGGTGCGGAGTCTCCTGGGAGACCAAGGGCTTTTGATCCCCCATCTAGTTCTTCCGGGCTGGCAGAGAGGCAAAAGGAGGGAGACATGGAAAAGGAGTCAAGGGGACAAGTTGAGCAAGTGCGATCCCTGAGCAAACACTTCGCTCTTAACTCTCTTTTCTCGTCTTCTCTCATTTTTCTCCTGTCTGTCTGTCTGTCTGAGGTTGAGAGGATCTAGTTGTGAGAATTGGAGAAGTGGGAAGCGCTACGACCACCACCCGGAGGGCCCCGGAAGGACTGCGGCACTTAGCAAGGCTATAACCCGGGTTCCTTTAATATTTTTACCCAAGTACAAATCGCAGCTTTGACTCCTACGTGCTGAATCAGCAACAGTCTCCCTACGCTCCCAGACCAGGTTGCTAGGGTGTCGCGATCGCCCTAGACGTGCCCAGGGCTGTCCGGTAGCCAGGGCGCGCCTAGAAGTAGCGGAAGGCGCCCTAGCCGCGCGCCAGCGCTTCCACCTGCTGCCTTCTGGTAGTCCCAGGAGCAGCGCCGCCCGAGCGCGCACATTAAAATTTCGAGATTTGCTGTAGGTAGGAATGATAGCTTTCACGGTAATAGCATTCCAGGGACAAGGAGAGGCAAGAAGTCAATGGAGTAGATGGCGTTCTTGCTCTCTGCAAAACGACTACGATGGAGGTGAGGTTGAAGCGAGTCCTTGCTCTGGGACCGCCCCCAGTTTGGACCCTCTGCCATTCTACAGTCTTTCCTTCTGGGTGACGTGCTAGTACCTGGAGTAGGAATCTCCCTAGAGGAGCGGATGGATAGGTGAGAAGACCAAAAGGAATGTCTACCCAACTGTAAATTCGGGAGTCCCTGGATGGTGCAAACGGTTAAGGGCTCAACTACTAATCGAAAAGTTGCGGTTCTAACTCACCCAGAGGCGCCGGGAAGAAAGACCTCAAGATCTGCTTCCGGAAGGTGACTATGGAGCGCAGTTCTATTCTGCGCAAGGGATCACCATGAGTCCTAATCTACTAGAGGCAACTGTCCCGCACTGTGCACACGCATACATATACGCACAGACATATGTACACACAGTGTTCCCTGACGTACTTTAAGAAATACAATTTATTTTATTAAAAATAATATATAGTCATGGTAGAAAGTTTGGAAAAGAACAGAAAGAAACTTTAAATTGCTGCAAATTACCACTTTTTTTTAGCATTTTTATCTGTTTCCTTCTAGTCTTTTTTCTATGCTGATATAAATTCAATATATTTTTTTAAATTGGCAAGACTTGCATACTGATTTTTTTTCAGTCTATAATATGAGCATTCTTTCCCTAACTTTATATATTAAATATTTAGTGTTTTTTCATACATGTGTCTTACAATTAACTTCAATCCCTTACAGAAGGAGAGCTATAATAAAATTTAAAAAAAAAGGTACAACAAAGAACATTCTTACAAACTTACTTAAAAACAAATCTATGATAATCTCTTCATGTTAGATACCTAAAATTAACATTTCTGGATCGAATGAACATTTAAGTTTATGGGTAAAATGACCACATTACTTTCAGGAAGACTCTGCAAATTCACACTTTAGTGCAAGAATGTGCCTGTCTGTCTATGCCTTTGTAAGTACTTACTACTGACATGTAAAATTTTTCCCAGTTCTCCTTTCTACAGCAGCTGGAAAAGTTATAAAATAACACCCCCTTCCTAAGGAAGATGTTATCTTAATTTGACTATGTCTTTCCACCAGGATTTTTCCACATCTACCATAAGAACCTCAGGATAAACAGGTAAGAGGAAAATATAACCAATTACAAAAACATAACAACAAAATCAAGGAGTATCTGTTTTTATTTTATATACCTTTATCAAAATAAACTGAGGGTTGGACAAAAATCTCTATCTCAATTTTACAATGAAAAATCACTAACTTTCTCTTTTCTTCCCTCTTGCTTTTTTAAACAACATTTTAGTTACCCAGCCTAGTATATCTATATTTTTTAACATGAATTTTAAAATTACTCATTTTGATATGTGAATGGAAAACAACTAATGTTTCAATTGATCATCAAACAGTATCTGTTTCCCAACTTCTTATGGGATGCCTAGAGGCTCCATCAAAATCTCATCCTTATCTACTTATATCTACTCTACTTTTTTATCTACTTATTATATACTTTATCTACTTAGTCAAAATCTATTGACATTTGATGGGTTGGATGGGTTTAAAATTGAAAGCTCCCCTTACTTATCCCATTTTAAGTCCTCCTGGAGATGAAACATTATTATTTTTTTTAATGTCCAAGTGTTGGAAAAATGAAAAATAAGCCAAAAAAAAAAAAAAAAAAACTAGTTCAAATCTAGGAATCCTTAATATTTTGTTGAAAGAACTAATTTTCAAAATAAGAAACAAAACTGTGTAGACAAAGATCATCAAAAATCATTGAGTCCTGAAGAGTAAAGATAGCCATTCATCATATTTAATAGTCTCCTTCATATCCTTACTCACTCTGTTATTTGTGTCCTTAGCAAACACCCCTACAATGAATACCTCTTCATCTTAGCAATGAAACCCAAAGACCCTCTAAGTGAAATGCTCTTTTCCTAACTATCACTAGAAGAATTATACTCACCGTTCTTAAAACTGTTACAGCTTACAAATGCTTTGCTTTTCATAATTTTGTTACATATTTAGAAGGTGCCCCAAAATGTGAATTCTCTTAAGATATTTTCTTAATCATTATGTTAATAGAAAAAATTTAGCAAAAAGATAAGAGACACTGAGAAATAAATTAACTTGTTCTTTACAGCAAATCGTCGACATAGATTAGACCAAAAAAAAAAAAAAAATCCATGCTCAGAACCTGAGAAAAGTGCCACTCTATATTTTGACACTCAACTTTTCTAAGCAATGTGGTTGCTGGATTTCACAAATTTGGTGAACCCATAAATTCGGCTTGGCTTTTAATGCAACTTTTTCACTCTATGACATTCCCTGTGTTAACTTTCCTTTGTTCTTTAGCCTGAGACCCAACATTGATAGAAATATCACCGAACATTGGCTATCAATAACTTCCACCAGCAAAAAAAAAAAAAAAAACCCTTAGTAGGGTTCAGTTTTTTCTGGAAAATTACAATAATTGGTTTTTGACATCTTAAAGTTATTTGAACATTTAGAATCTAAACACCATTTTAGACGTTGCTTGGAGGTAATTTATTTATACACTCTTTACTGACTGAAAACTGCCTTTGGTTCCCCATAACTATCAGGTTACTGTTAGTATTCAGACATGTAAACCAAAAAGAGGCCTAAATGAAATCACATTTGAAAGACACAGCTAAACTTTCCAAGGAAAGTAAAAATAAGCAGAAGCCTTTGCCATCAACAGGCTCATCTTCTTTTATAGATGCCCAATGTGAAAGCAGATTTTGGCAAAATTAGCACTGGAAACTGAAGCAAACATTATGCTAGCATGCATAACTCCTGCATGGAGATAAAATTAAAACCCTTGGATTGGTGTTTATTATCATATTTGTCAGCATTTCCATTATAAAAACACTATTGTAGAAGGCTTATATCATAGCTATAAAAATTCTGGGATGAAACTTGATGAGGACAGTTTTAACATAACTCTTTTTCATTACAGATCTTTAAAGAAAACATCAAAGGTAATAAAGAGACTGAAATACATTTTACATGTGGGGTTTCAAAATGTACCTGTAACTTTAAAACACAAGAGGTTCTGATTATTACACAATATAAAGTAGACTATTATTTTATTTAAAAAAAAAAAAAAAACAGCTAGCAAATTAATGGTACCAATTTTCCCTTTCATAGGGTGATATTAGTTCATTAAGGAGCCCAAGTGGCATAGTAGTTAGACACTTGGCTGCTAAGTGAAAGGTCAGCAGTTTGAACCTATGAGCCCACTACACAGAGTGAAGATTTACAGCCTTGGAAACCCTATGGGGTAGTTCTACTCTGTCCAATAGAGTCACTATGGATCGGAATAGGCTCAACAGCAATAGGGTTGGGTTTAGCTTTTTATTAGTTTGTTAATTTATATTTTAAATGCTTCTCTAAAAGTGTTGAAGTTTTGCTATATAGCTGTAATTTGGCCCAAGTTTGCTCAAAATTTCCTGAAGTTTGCCAACATTTTGGGTGAAGTGAGGCCCAATTTTTGGTCAGTGCCCTCTCTTCCTGTGAATGCTGGACTAAAAATGTTACAAAACAAAACTCAGCAGTTCTGACCATTTTGTTTTGACTTTGGGGTTTCTTTGAGTCCAAAGCTCAAAACCAAACCTGGCAGAGGAGGAGAAGCAAAGGAAAGGAGCAATGCAAATTGACAGGAATAAATACCAGAGAGATGGAAAAACGTCTTCAGGTCTCAATCAACCAAAGCCTATGAACTTCCGCGACTCTCAGTGAC